GCCGTACCCACCGGCCCCGGCCCTGCGGGATGCTTCGCCCCCCGGCACTGTGGGCTGGGGGTCCCCTCCCATGGCAGGGACCCCCCTGGAGCTGCACGGGGCTCCGGACATGGGGACGGGGTCCTGGGGGTCACCCCCCTGTGGCCCTGCTGCGGGAACCCCCCCAGAGGTGCTTGGGGTTCCCGACATGGGGTCGGGGGCCTGGGGGTCGTCCCCCTACATCCCTGCGACGGGGACCCCCGAGGAGCTGCACGGGGCTGTCGCCTCCAACGTCTCCTCGTGGCTGTCCCCTCCTCACTGCGCAGGGGCAGGGTCCCCCCCGGGCCTCCCTGGTGACCCCCTCCTGGACGCGGGGCTGATGCTGCCGGAGTTCGTGGATGCAGGGACAGTCACCGAGGTAGGTGCGCTGGCAGGGGTCGGGGTGAGCCCAGGTGGCCCTGGAGTGCTTGGGGCAGTGCGGGGACTGGTTTTGGGGTACCAACAGCCTTGTCTGGGGTCGGGAAGGGAGAGGTGTCCCCCCTCCTCCCTGCAGCGGGTGCATGTGGGTCCCTCAGCCTGCTCCTCTCCCCGGTGCCACCCTCCCTCGTGTTTGTTGGGGTCCCATCAGCTGGGACAGACCTGAGGCCATGGTCCTGCTTGTCCCTGGCCGGGAGCCCTCCTGGCGGGTGGGCTCTGTCAGCCCCCGTTCCTGCACCCCCAGGGACCCCAGCCCTGCCCTGGCCGGGCACTGTCTCACCCACCTTCTGCTCCCCCAGGACCTCTCCGCAGACCTGCTCTCTCTCTTGGAGGCTCTGCTCCCACCACAGCCCCAGGACTGACCCGGACGAGCCCCCAGCTCCCCGGTGCCGGAGCACCCAGTGCCACGCAGCCCCACGACGCACCATCCTGATGCCTGCAGCTCGGGGGACGCGTGTCCCCCTGGACAGCTGGGAGGTGGGGGGAACGAGCTGCCTCTTGTGTGAGCCTGGACGCGCTGGGCGGCCGCGACTGTACATAAATAAACCCTTGTGCCCCTGCGGGTGTCACCGCGTGGATGTTCCCACAGCAGGAGCTGGGCATGGGATGGGGTGCGGCGTGCCCAGGCCACCGCGTCAGCTCTGGGAGTGGGTCTGGGGCCGGGAGAGGATGGCTGAGCTGGTGAAGCCCCGCTCTGCAGCAGGGCAGGCCGTGGGCATCCCGCCGGGCGTGGGCAGGGGCTCCGGCACGGGTCCAGCGCCGCCTTGCTGGGCTGCAGGGGCTGGGGACCGCGGCACACAGCTGCAGGGCAGCTGGACAGCATCTGGGAAAGTGATTGCAGGGAGCTATTGGGAGAGACACCTCCTGTCCTGGGGTCTGTCCCCCGGCCGGGGAGGGGTGGGGGTCACCAGCACCCCCCGGATCCGGTCCCGGGGCTCGGTGGGAGCTGAGCACCGCGTGCCCCCGCAGCGCAGGGTTAAATGTGGGTATTTGGGGTCCAGCAACAGGGGAAAGGCTCGGGTGTGGGGCCGGGGGAGTGTGGGGGGCTGCAGACGGGCCCCTCTGCCCCCAGCCCCCTCGGCGGCTCCCTGCGGGGTGCGGGGCCGGGGTCTGGAGAGCCCATTACAGGGACCCAGTGGGGCCTGACAGCCGGGTGCTAATGCGCCGGGGGCCCTTCTCCACCCACTCCGGGGGCGCTGGGGCAGGGGGTCTGCAGGGCTAATGAGCCCCACTTATCTGTGAAATGACTTGCTAATAATGTTAATTCCTTCTGCCAGGGGGGCGAAGCCTTTGAGATGCAAAGCAGCCCCCCTGCCCTCCCCCAGGCTGTGGCTCCCCCCGGCCAGGGCTCAAGGGACTTGGGGACACGCTCTGGCCATGGGGACAGCCACGGCCTGGGGAAGCAGCTGGCAGAGGCAGGGCTGGGAGAAGGGACCTGTGGGTCTCTGGGACCCCCCAAATGATGCACCCCAAAGCGAGGAGCCTTTGTGCACCCCGACACCCAGCCCTGGCAGCATTTCCCTCTGCCCAGCTCCTTGCCCAGCTCCCTGGCCCCGCTGCCAGGGGGGTTTCCTGGGGCAGGCAGCCGCCCGAGGTGCCAAGCAGGGGCCACGCCAGCCCTGCGCCGTTAGGATGGGATTTGGGATGAGCTGGCGCAGCGGGGACGGGCAGAGGGGGCAGAGCTGCCTGCCTGCGGGTGGGGGGTAGAGGGATTCAGATCTCAGAGCAGAGCTGTATGTGCAGGTGTGCGTGCATGCATGTGCATCAACAGGGATGTGCATTGGAGAGTGAGTGTGTGTGAGCACTGTGCACGCTTACGTGTCCGTGTGGGTGGGTGGGTGGCGTGGGGTGACGGACCAAGCTGTTCCAAGCGGGCTGGCTACGTCAAGGAGCAACCTGAGCTACCAAGGGCATCCCGCCGGCCGCCTGCTGAGTGTGGCCCAGCAGCAGGCGCGGAGGTGGCTGTAGGCACCGGCGGTACCTGCCCCACTCCCCCTCTCTCCCTGGCCCCGCCGGCTCGCTGCCACCGGGCACGGCGCGGATGCAGGAGCCCTCAGCGCAGAGACCCGGCAGCGTGTGAGCAGCGGCCCTGACATGGCCCGGCTGGGCGGTGCTGGACAGGACACCCTGGCTGGAGGTGAGGGGGGGGTGTCCCCCGGGGGCTCTGGCACTGGGCTGGGAGGGTCCCCGTCCCCGTGCAGGACCAGGAGGGATGCTCCGGGGAGGGGATGGATGGGCAGCAGGAACGGCCTGGGGTAGGCGGTGGGGTGGGCTCAGCTGAGACTGTCTCCCTCTGCCTTGCTTGGTGCCAGGGACCCCCTGTAGCACTACGGGGAGTGGCGGGGCTCTGGGGGCTGCTGGGGGCTCTGGAGGGGCAGCGGGGATGCAGAGCAGCTGAAGATGGGAATGCAGTGAGCTGGGGTTGTGGTGCAGGCACTGTGGCCCCGGGCAGGGAGCCGGGCCCCCTCTGGGTGGGCTGCTGCTGCCTCTCTGCCTGTTGCGGCAGGAAGGGGCCATCCGCACCCAGAGCCTGCAGTGGGGAATGCCAGCGCGGAGCCCCCCAGCAGCCTGCTCCCCCCGGAGCGGGGCTGTGCCTGGAGCCCCCAGGCTGAGGGAGGCGAGGAGCCCCTGCGGCTGCCCACCTTCTCCCCCGCCGCCCAGGCCCGCGTGGCCGTCACCTTCGCCCTCTTCGCCCTCTCTGCTGGCTGTAACCTGGCGGTGCTGCGGGTGGCGGGGGGCCGGCGGGGCGGACAACGTTCCCACATCCGCCTGCTGCTGTTGCACCTGGCCGCCGCCGACCTGCTGGTGACGGTGGCGGTGATGCCGCTGGATGCCGTCTGGAACATCACGCTGCAGTGGCGGGCGGGCGACCTGGCCTGCCGCCTCCTCATGTACCTCCGGCTGCTGGCCATGTACGCCTCTGCCTTCGTCACCGTTGTCATCAGCCTGGACCGGCAGGCCGCCATCCTGCGCCCGCTGGCCATCGCCCGTGCCCGGAGGAGGAACCGCATCATGCTCTACGTCGCCTGGCTCCTCAGTGCGGGACTCTCGGTGCCCCAGGTACCTGTCCCCAGGGCTCCTCTCCGGCCCCGTACCCCATGGCAGATGCCCGCCCGGCCCCCGTGCCGGCTCCCCGGGTGCCCAGCTACGCCGGCTGGGGTTGGTCCCAGGGCTGGTGCTGCCGTGAGTCCTGTGGGATGGGGATGGAGAGGGCCTGGAGCAGAGGCAGCCGAGCTGGGCAGCAAAGACAGGGCTGTGGCAGCGTGCCCCCTCCACCCAGCTCTGCCCCCCTTCCTGCTGTGTGCCCCGGGTCCCACTCCCACAGGCGGGCAGGGGCTGAGCCTGGGGGGCTGCCATCCCACTGCTGCTCTGCCTCCAGCTGTTCCTCTTCCGCACGGTCACCCTCCGCCCGCCGCACAACTTCACCCAGTGCACCACGCGGGGCAGCTTCCCCCAGCCCTGGCACGAGACCCTCTACAACATGCTCGGCTTTGCCTGCCTCTTCCTGCTGCCGCTGCTGATCATGGTCTGCTGCTACGCACGCATCCTCCTGGAGATCTCCCGGCGCATGGGCTCCAGCCTCTGTGAGTGCCCGGGCACTGGGCTGCCATGTCCCCGTGCCAGGGGGGTTTGCAGGGACCCTGGGATGGAGGAAGCAGGGGGGAGCCCTGGCTGGGGCTGTGCGGGGACCCCCAGCCCTCCCTCAGGGCACAGGGTCCCTGCCCCAGCTGGGCTGCTAAGCGTCCCCCACTCACAGGCCGTGCCCCCCCAGTCTCCTCGCAGGACGTGTCGCTGCGGTGCTCCAGGAACAACATCCCACGGGCACGGCTGCGCATGCTGAAGATGAGCCTGGTCATCGTGTCCTCCTTCATCCTCTGCTGGACCCCCTACTACCTGCTGGGGCTGTGGTACTGGTTCTGCCCACGGGCCATGGAGAAGAGGGTCTCGCCGGCCCTCACCCACATCCTCTTCATCTTTGGCCTCTTCAATGCATGCCTGGACCCCATCACCTACGGGCTCTTCACCATCCCCTTCCAGAGGGGCTGGGGCTGCCCCTGCGGGGACAGCCC